GAACGAGCAGTCCACCATTAAACCAGAAGCAATTTTCATAATATATTCCTGAGAATCGAAGAATATCGTCCGTCCTCCAAAACGTAGCGCTGTTTTGCACGAATGCAATGGCCTGCTTGAACTAATCCCTTAAGTTCCTATAAGCAAAGACAGTGCAACTACATCCTGGGAATCCGGAGAAGTGATCAAAGACGTATGGAAAGATTACCAATTCCCAACGATCTTGATGACACTCGATATGTCTAAGGGCAGTTTAGATCAACCAAACAGCAAGTGAGTGCATTTGTACCACTCAAGAAGTAAAATAATACTGATTCATTTCTTCGCCCAGTCACTCATGTCGTTTCTATATTGAGCAACTTTCGTACTTCGTCATGTCCCCTTTCGTCATACCTTTCCGTTGATGGTTTTCTTGGAGTCAGAGCGAACGACGGCGAACTGGACAACGAAGTGACCCTCTAAGGCTTCCAAGAGCTGTTGCTCGGAGCACGACGACAGATTGCGCTTGGCCTTCGTCCACCACCGGTCATCGTGGTAGCCGCTGGTGACCCACACGTATTGTGGGCCATACATTTGCTGCTTATAAGCCTGAAACGATGAATGCCTGAGCATTTTTAAGTATGCAACAGCACATCGTAGAATAACCTCGCAAAACACGATGGTAGCGAACGTGACGTTGAAGTCGCCGACGATCACCCGCACGTCCTTTTCCTACAAAACAGCTTATAGACGCAACCAAAGGCAATGACCATCGACTTTCAAACTGTGGATCGCCGTGTGCACGTTCAGTTTTTTGGACGAGAAGCCGTACGAGGCGACGATATTCATGCCGCGACTCTGGTCGATGGCCGTCGTGAAAGCCTCGTTTTGCTAAACGTCGTCGTTCAGTGCGCCGCAGCCGCGCCACACTTACGTCGCTACTCAACGCCACTCACCAGCGAGTACCTCGAGTCGTCGTTCTGCACGATCGCGCCGATCTTCGACCAGTTGAAGTGGCGAAGAAAGGCGATTCGCGCCAGGATGTCGTTCCTGTGGTCAGGTACCAC